ATCCTTCTTCGTTTAAGACCACATCTCGACTAATCACAAACTTCTTATTGTCTGGATTGTACAACTTGTAGCCCTTCGAATTAGCATCATAGCCGATGAAGATAAAACTCTCGCTTTTATCATCAAGCTTCGTTCTTCTCTAGTCTGGTACGTGAACATGGGCTATACTTCCAAAGGTTCTCAAGTGGGAAATGCCAGGCTTTCTTCCACTCCATGCCTCTTGCGGTGTCTTACCCCATACACTTCTTGTTGGAGATCGATTTGACAAGTAGGCTGCACACGATACTGCTTCCGCCCAAAATTCTTTGGGTAGTTTCTTGCTTTTGAGCATGCTTCGTGCCATGTCGAGGATTGTTCTATTCTTTTTTTCTACCACACCATTTTGCTGGGGGGGATCTAGGAACTGTCATTGGTCGACGAATTCCATTTGCTTCACAAAACTCTTGAAACTCCTTGGAAGTAAATTCTCCACCTCGGTCGGATCTCATGGCTTTGAACTTTCTACCGCTTTCTCTTTCCACTGCTGCTTTGAACTTCTTGAAGACTTCGAAAACTTCTGACTTCTGTTTCAAGAAATATACCCAGGTTTTTCTTGAAAAATCATCAATGAAGAGAAGAAAATAGTTACTGTTACCGAGAGAGCTCGGCTTGATCGGTCCACACACATCGGTATGGATGAGCTCGAGTGGCTTCTTGGCTCTTGTCTCTGACTCCTTTGGAAAGCTTTTCCTGAATTGTTTCCCAGCTAGACACCCTTCACAAAGCTGATCAGGATGGTTGATGCGAGGTAGTCCCTTCACCATCTCCTTCTTAGATAGCAGCTTTATAGCAAGCTTTCAGGCACTTTGCAACATCATTTTGTATGCTGATCAAGAACATTCTATTCTTTGACATCGGCACTTTAACAATGAAGTTATTCTTATCATCTTTTATAGAAAGATTATAATTATTCATATGAATATCATAACCTTTCTCTACTAGTTGCCCTAAACTTAAGATGTTACTTTTCATATTGGGCACATAGTAGACATTTGAAATAAATTGATGTCTCTCATCTTTCAAACGGATAAGAATGTTACCTCTCCCTTTCACTGCTATTGTGGAATCATCTCCAAATGAAACATTTCCGCTTACTGACTCGTCTAGCTCCACGAACATGTCTTTCCTTCCACACATGTGATTGCTTGCACCACTGTCAAGATACCAGGAATTTTCTTGGCCACCATCAGTTTCCTTTCATGCTAGAAGAAGAGTTTCTTTGCCATCTGTCTTTTCCTCCACGTAGTTAGCCTTCTCCTCAATTTTGTTGTTGGGAGCTCTACATTCTGAAGCATAATGCCTAAACTTTTGACAATTATAACATCGAACTTGAGATTTGTCATGCCTTGAGTTCGGATTGATTCTTCCACGGCCTCGTGTTGAGCTTTCTCCTTTCTCATAGTTGTTGTTGGAATTGTTGTTGTTGTAATTCCAGCCTCGTCCACGACCTTGACTTCCACCTCGTCCATGGCCTCTACCTCTGTCTTGGCCACGTTGGTTTCTATCATTGCGTTGGCTTTCATGCATATCTTTGAGTTGCAGCTTGAGGAGTTGCTCAGTAAACTCATGCTTCTTCTTATGCTTCTCTTCATATGCTTGCAATGATCCTTGGAGTTACTCGATCGTCATTTCTTCCAAGTCTTTAGTTTCTTCAATCGTCACGACGATGTGCTCAAATTTGGGATCCAACGAATGGAGTATCTTCTCTATTATCCTCACATCGTCTAACTTTTCACCATTTCTTTTTAATTGATTAGAAACAACTACTACTCTTGAGAAATAATCTGAAATAGACTCAGATGCTTTCATGTTTAAGGATTCAAATTCACCTCTTAATGTTTGGAGACGAACCTTCTTCACTTGCTCGGATCCTTTGTAAGAGGTTTGCAGCTTCTCCCACGCTTCCTTGCTAGAGCTTGCACTTGAAATCTTTTCAAAACCATCATCATCTAATGCTTGATAGATGAGGTAGAGAGCCTTCTTGTCTCTCTTTCTTGAATCCTTCAAAGTTGTCTTTTGATCTGGTGTAAGAGTAGCAAAAGCATCATCATCCGCAAGCTCGTTATAGCCTTTCTCTATGATATCCCACACATCTTGTGATCCAAGAAGTGCCTTTATTTTGATACTCCAATTGTCATAGTTGTTGTTGTTGAGTGTCGGAACTTGGAATGGTGCCATACCATTTGCCATATCTCTCAATATAATGAGATTTTGTAAAATCCGATTGCACGAATGAATCCGGAACGCCGAAAAACCCTTGGGAGGGACTTGGAAACCTCGGTCAAGGGCTCCAACTCGGCTAACTGGGCTCAACTCGGTGAGTCAACTCGATTTTCTGGCAGCAGTCTTCCGGCGGTGCGCGGCAGTGTGTCAGAACTCATATTGAGAAAATTCTGGCGGCGTCGGATTCCTCTCGTCGAGACCTTCGATCTTTCCAACTCGCTCTGATGCCACTTTGTTGGAAATAAAACACTCACACAAACAACTTTTATTGAAACTCAAACAAATATTACAAGAGCACTCTCACTCAAAAACAAGAACTACAACTCACTCTTATAAGACTTTCCTTCTTCACTCACTTAGAAGCTCTTAATTTTTCTTGATGCTTAAAACTGAAATGGGAAGGGGTATTTATACTACTCAAGAACAATCCTACACCACACAAATAAACTAATTTAAACCATTACAAATTCAACAAATATCTAACTCTCACCTAACTAAATTGATGTAAGCAATGACATCATTACTTAAATGATGTAAGCAATGACAACTTTAATTAAATGATGTAAGTAATGACATCAATTTAGTTTTAGTTTGGGTTTGGGTTTAGGCTCCCATAATGGATCAAGTTTATGATCCAACAATAACATATACAAAACTTGGCAGCCAATTCAACCTTTTCTTCAATGTCTTCTTTCAACACCTCCTCGAAGAGGAGTTCATTCGTATGAGGGTCATAAGAATCAGAACGTCGAGATTTCTTAATTCATAAAAGTGTAAAACGATAGAGTACGAATTAAGAACGATTTAGGTGTGATATTAAGGGCACGACTATGTCTATTAAAGATGTGGATGGAAGAGCGGGTAACTCAAAGAGTTACGAAACGAATGCGAATGAGATGATCGATGAAAAATTGGCCGACGATTGTGTGGTCAAAGTGGTTAAGAGAGCTAAAGGAAAGTAAAGGCTCAGACTAAGGAGATTAGGGTTTAGAAACTTCCAAAGAAATCCAGGAGAGAATGAAAATAGAAGGTATAAGAAATAAAAAAAAGGTGAAACTATGGAACTGATCCATAGCTTTCTAATTTTAGCAATTTGGGATCTAAATTTTCATAAATTACTGGTTTAATTCAAACTCCAAGTTTTTTTTTAATTAAAGTCCATAATTGGATTTTTAATCATCAATTAATTGTTGGACTCTTACATTTTCATCATTGGTTGGTTAATTACATATTTAGTTCCCTTTAGTTTGTAACAATTCTAATTTAATCCTTACTTTGCATGTTTAATTACTATTTTGACCATTATTCTTTTATGTTTTGGTAATTTAGACTTAATTGTTTTATTTAAAGTTTTATTATTATATTATTATTTTTTATTATTATTGAGATCAAACCTTAACCACATAAATTTGTTGGCAAAATATCTGCATCATACCCAATCATAAGGATACTCGAAAAAAAATGTAATTTTGTGACTTAGGCTCGATCTATGAAATGTCTAGCCTGGTACTCGACCCTATCAGGTAATTTTTTTAGATAATTACTCAATATTTCTAGTTTGGGTCGCCGGGTCAATAGGGTTGGATATTTTTCAACACCCCTAATTAAAATACATGTAATTTGAATCAATAAGGTTGGTTCAAGTGGTAAGGAGCTTGATTTCGTTTAAGTAGGTCTCAAGTTCGAGTCATTATTAATGCAGAAATTTTCCACTGGGAGACTCGCCCACCAAAACCAGGTGTACGACCTAGTTCGGTTCAGATTAATCAAGAAGAAACCTTGGAACCTTAAGGGTAACAAAAAAAACCAAAAAATACGTGTAATTTGAAAGTTTAATGATTAAAATTGAAAGGTTTTAAAGTTTAATGAATAAAATTGGATGATGTAATTGATATTTTACTCTTATTTCTAATGTTTCCTTCCCCAGATATTAATCCTTGCGATGAGAACGAAAACCTTTCCCTGTTATTATTATTCCCCTCTCGTCTTTTGTTGGTATTATTATTCCCGGTTAAGGTTTGCCCTTTGTCTCTCTATCTTCTTCTTTTATTCAAGAACACATGATTCTTTCGTGAACGGCGATGATCGCATCTGATTTTCAACGAAATCGATAATGAAAACATTTCAAACCCTAGCCCAACATTATTCCCCAAATCAGATTGCAGTTCTGTACCTGCCTTCGAATCTGAATAATCATCACTGCCCATCTCCCCATAATCGAGAACTAGGGTTTTAAAAATAATTATTAAGGTTCGAAGAAGGGAGGCAAAGATGGAGAGATTGAGAGTATAGATCTGAGGGAGTAAAAGCACTTGAAACGGTGGCGTTAATGAAATATATCGATGAGAAAGAGTGGTAAGCGCTTGTTAGCCTTCCAATATTTTTTTTAATTAGTATTTAGAAATTCATATGGATAGTATTGTCAAATATCTTTCCTTTGTTTGTTGCCGAGTTTACTCAATTTTGAATCTTAAATTTTCATTTGACATGTGAATTCAGACGAGTCACACAGTTGAAAATACTCAGATTGACGAAGATATGTCGGAAAATGCAGAGAAAATTGGTATTCAAAAGTTTTGCTCTATCTTTTTTCTTTTTTTTCTTTTGAATGATATGTTTATCACATATGACGTGCAGCTGATTCAGACATGACTGCGAAACCTGAAAAACTGTTATGGGGGTTAAGAGAAGGAAGGTAATCCTGGAATTCTATGCCTTTCCATTTTCCTCTTCAATGCTTCGGTGTTTCACTTTCTCACTTGGCTATTTTGGATTTTATGGGAGTATTTATTAAATTTGTTTTGATTTTATGGAATTTGGGAATTCACGTATACTATTATTTGGTTGTGGTGGATTTTATGCTACAAAAGAATTAACAAGCACTGGTATGCCTTACAAGGTTTACAAGTGTGGTTGTCTTTGATTTTAACTTGTTTGCTACTCATTGAACACTTCTATGTGTTGCAGGAAGCAAACCCCTTGAACCTGAACAGAGCACAGACAAGGAGGCAAGAAAGGTTGGTTTACTCTTTTTGTTTGCTCCTCTGGTTTACCCCTTGAATGTTTTTGAAAGATGGATTATAAATAGTTGACATGATGCATTACTATTTTTATGAGGTAACTTGATTGTGCAATTGCAATGTTACATAGTAAGATTTTTTCCTGGTTTAAATCATCATGAACAAGCGCACTTGATTTTAGTCACACTTCCTAAGTAAGCATGGCTCTTCCACTTCCACTTGATTCGGTTTGATTAGAATATGTTTGTTTAACTGTTAATTTGCATTGAATTAGATTGAATATTGAAATTGCTAATTTTCTTTTCCTATGCTTTTCATAAAGGAGTTAGTTTTATTAGCAGCATCAAAGATCGAAAAATAAAGGAAGTTTACATGACTGAGGAAGAAGCTGATAAAATTGCTGGTTCAGTTTACTAAATTTTAACTAATAAATTTGTGTGTTATATATGGAAATTAATGCATATGTTTATTTTGTGTTTCCAGGGTTAGGTGATGTTGAATTTGTGATGCCTGGGGAATATCATGTTCTATTTCCGAAGCCACCTTCTCCTCCTCTCGTGCAGAAGATCGTTATTATCCATGTTAAACATCTTTGGAGCCACCCGGACCAGAAGCTGCTGGTGCAACCCCACAGGTATATTTGAATCCTTTGTTAATTCCGATTTTGGTTTGGTAAATTGGATACCATTTGAACGATTTAGTTAGATATTTGATCACTATATCCATGAATTTAGTCTGTTGTATTAAGTGTATTTTATAATTGGTTGGTAATAGGAATGGATGCTTGGATGTTGAAATAATGCCACCGTGAAAATATGTTGCTACATTCATTGGAATTGAAACTTTGGTTTGCCATTGAATTTAGGGTAAACAGCTTGTTTAGTACCAAAATAAAACAAACACAAAATTTTAGCATGATTTTGAAAAAAATTGAAAGATTAAGTACTAAAATAGATCAAAATTGATAGTTTAGGTACTAACTGTGTAATTTACTCTTGAATGTATTTATAGACATATGATGATGATATCTTATAATAGGCTTACACGTTCTCAAAGAAGATTATAAATAATTGACATGCATGACACGTTTGTACTTTTACGTGGTAATTGATTATGCAATTGCAATTTTCAAAAATAAAATTATGCAATTGCAGTGGTAGAACGTACGATTATTAAATTTCATTCGCTTTTAATATTATAATAATTTAAAACTAAAATTAAAACTTAGGACCAAAATCATAAACCCAAGTTCATTACATAATGGGATCTAAACCAAATAAGCTGTAAAGTACTAACACAAATGCAGCTTGAAGAGTATATTAGGGCTAGAGGGAATCATTGACATTATTTATGCAAGATCACCATCCATACTTGGCTTGGGTTTCAGCTTTAGTAAGCAAACCTCTAGATTGCCTCTCTTGCAACTCCATCTCCTTTTGCTTCATATCGAAGTACAAGGAACTGATTTGGTGCTTCCTTTTGTGAATTTTGACGGTTTACCCTTCAACGAAGCAGGCTACATTCCAAGTGAGCATGGTAAATATAAATACCACAAATATTGAAGGGTATAAAAGAACAAACATATTTGTTAGTGCAGGTTGTGAACAGGCTCAACAGCACAAACATAATTTCATGTATTTAGAACTCGATTTCACATTAACAAAGTAGAAAATCCTGAAGATTAAAGAAGTTGAAGAACAAGATTTAGGCTTCAAAACAGGAGTCATGATTGTTTAATCTGATGGCCATAACTTGAAGTACTAATTTCTGTACCAACAACAGGCTACTAATCTGATTCACAAGCACAACTTCATTGTGAACAATTTTATCTTCTTTCATATTCCCATAAAACTCTTTTGTTTCAAATTCCAATAGAACAGGTTACTCATTTGATCGAATACTTTCTTTCATGGGTTTATGTGTGCCTAGAGAACACTTTAGTCAATTTAGCATTACCCCTTAAAATACTTTCTTTTATAATTTTGCAAACCAGGACGACGAAAAAACCCATTAGGTATCTTCCTCAACAACCAATGAAATCCATATGAGAATTAACAAAATCACAAAATCTTGGTAACATAATCCCAGTTTTGAGGGAAAAGAAAGGCATAACATAATAAGCTTCTTTTACCTCATGCACAAAAAACAATTTGCTTTATTCACATTGCAATTGTTCCGCAAACAATGGATCATTGTAAGCATTATCAGTTTATACTACACGACGACGGGAATCCGGTTGATTGCTATGCTGTTTTGTGGAGATAATCTATTCGAAATCTAAAACATTAACAACAACAGCTACAACAGAAAAAAGACAAACAACTAGCTCATGCAAATATCATTAGACAAAAATTAGACCAACAAGCTGATAAAGTAGATTAGCTTTGAAGTTCGATACCTGATAAGATGGCCCGAAAGCTATTCTGGTCATCTTGACCTGGTCTTCCGTCGGCCGATTCTTCATAAGTTCAACCTGCTTCACCTCAACAATTTCTGTTGGTATCTCATTCCTCCCTCTCTTTCCCTCAACTTTCACCCCCAAGTTCAGCCATCCCCGAGGGCTTCGGCGACAGTTGTTGCTTACAAATCGGCCCAATTATTCTCATATTGTACATTGTAATTCACATAACTCCCAAAAGTAGTAGTGGCAACATCAGTGCTCCCACTATTTGGATCAACACTCAATTGGTAGTTGCTATAATCAGCAGCATAATTTACATAATAGTTTCCAGGATTTTGATCAATATTCAACTCATCATTTGCATCAGTGCTTCTATCATAATTCGAATAACTAGGTGCATTACTATCAACATTTGCCTCGCTTTTGTCTTTAAAAGTGGATGTGGCGACTCGGGTGGTTTCGATAATGGATCTTCTTCCTAAACCCGAAGAGGGGGCAACACCCAAAGTAGTCGAGTTCCTGGGCGCAGGTATGCTCGAGAGAAAGGATTCCACAGAGGGACCATGGGCTAGCTTTTCGGATTCTCTGCCCTTTCGTCTTTCTTCCACTTCGTTATTGTCGTCGTCATCGGAGCCGACGTGGTTACTGGGGTTTATGGAAGGCTTGAATTGAACAATTCTCTTGGCGATTGGAGGACTGGGTGGCTGTTGTGGTTGGGGGAGATGGGAGATGGGAGAAAAGCTTGGATGAGTCCTTGGTATCAGGAATTGGGAGTTTGGGGATACCAGAAGCTACTTTACCGCCGCCGTCGTCGTCTTCGACATTTAGGGCGGATTTGAGGAGTTGTTTAGGCTGCGGAAGAGAGGAGAAAAGGGAAGAAAATTTGGGTGGAGGGACAGAGGGGTCCCTTATCGTCGGAGGGCGTGTGATTTGTTGGGGTAAATCGACGTCGGAAGAAGTGGAATTGGCTAGCAAAGATTTCATCGCCGTCGTGCCGGAGAGAACCAATAGCAAGAGAGTATATCAAATCCGTGGACGATGGATAGTTTAAGGTTTAGCCATTATGGGGAACAATCCACCCAACTAAAGATATCGCATCGTGTAGGAATTGAAACGGGCCGACATTTTTCTCCATCCAATTTTAATGCAAGAAATATTCAAATTATAGAAATAATTTAAAAAGATATGTATTTTAATATATATCAAGTGAGATGGATTTTATATAAATTTAAATCCAATATGATTTTATAAAGTTTATGAATAACTTTAAAAAAATGTTTAAAAGGGATGAAGAGGTTAATTAACTTTTGTTGGAAGAATGATAAATCTTACCATAACATTCAATAACACTTACGGTAATTTTAAGGCAATAAATAATCATAAGTAATTTTTTTTTAAAAAAGAATAATATGGCGTCGTATTATTCTTTCTTATGGTTTCTTTAATTTAGAAAATAAATTTAATGTAATTCTTCGATTGATATTTTTTGTCGTTTATTATTACGGTACTAACGTTATAGTTTATGATGTTGACTTAACAATCCACAGTGATTGATAATGTGATGAATGACATGATAGATGGTTAAATTAGTAATTAATTCAAATATGATAGATGAAATGTCACGTAAAAACCGTGAATTGTTATGTCAATATTGTAAATTGTTAAGTCAACATCGCAGCAACGGTCAATAATGGAAATCATTAATCAAATTGTCATATTAAATTTTTTTTTGAGCTTGAAAGTCACATTAATAAAAAAAAATAATTTAAGGGCTATATTGTTTTTTTAATTGCAATGATTTCTGATTTTTTTTAGTATAATTTTAATATTAGTTAAAAGATTTTCTTGTGAAAGGAAGAGACTTAGAAATATTATTCCATCGAAATTTCAAACACAGTGCATTGGAGAGACACTTATTTTACAAGGACACATGGACTCGCCAAACTTACCTTTAAAACATAAGACTGCCGAAAACTAAATACTCTACGAAGATGGACACATGGACTCATCGTTACATGCTCATCGGACTCTCTGGATCGTTCAGAGCTGCAATGGCTGTTTCAATCTGCACCTTTAGCTCATCCTTCTCCCTTTCATCCGCCTGCATTTATGTCGACCCACGAGACTATTAAACAATGGAATTTAGTAATGAAGCTCAAAATTACATTTTGTTTTTTAAAATGAACCTTTTTAAGAAATATAAATAGAATAAAAATATTATCTATTGAAAATGAAATATCTTGGTTATTTTGGGCACAGTGTGTGTTCATTCCCTTCAACAAAAAGGAAATTTAAAAGGGAAAACATGTGAGAAATTTGCAAATAGAGTATATATTTGACACGCTCTTTAATTCTTATCTGATAGATTCATCACATATTTCTAAACAACAAATGAAATTATTAATAAAACCAAAGCAAGCCCTCCACATGGACCACATCCCAGGGAAAACTATAAAGATACAGAAAATTAAGGAAATTATAAGCTATTACGTATTATGGGGAAAAAACATATTCGAATATATCCATATATATATATGAAAAGCAAATGTGAAAAGATGACACAGATTAAACCCTGCACGTTTTAAATGCAACTTTATATATATATATATATATTTGACGCGTGATGTTTCCATGTGGTTTCTAAAGTTAATTTTGGAGTTTTCTTTTGAAAGTTTTTGATGAAAATTACAGCTGCAATGAATGGGAAACAAAATTAGGTGCGTCGGTCCAAATACTAGTGTAATGATGGAATGAGGGGTTGGTTAAATGTGGTCTAATCTTTTGAATTTTTTTAATTTTTTTATTAATTAAATTTTATGATTTTATATATCCTAATGTTTAATATAAAATTTAAATTTGTATCATTAATATGAAAAATTATGTTCATTTTTATTATTATTCATAATCACCACACTTTTCATCTCGAATGTAAGATAATGGAAAAATCAACGAGATAATACTCTCAAATTTTTTTTTTCACGAAATAATGTTCTCGTCAGATTAATTGTTGAGATAGGGTGAACTCTACAGTCTCATGCAGGTAGCCAAGTGCTCCGGGTGACGTAGTTGTGTTGATGTCAAGGTCGCCATGTACGCCGTTCTGCATGCGGGAGGTCGCCATGCACTCCCACTGTGGTGGTCTTTGGAAACCAATTCCCAACAGAAATATGTTTGTTCTGCTCATTATTTTATTATTCTAGAGGGGCCAATTTTGCTTTTAGGTAATCAATTAATCCTGGTACTTGTACAATTGTTCCATCCAGCCAATCAACATATCTGAACCGCATTGTCATGACAAATGTGCATATTCACAGTTATCACCCTGCGAAAGAAAACAAAAGAAATGGGAAAGAATCAACTCTGCGAATTGAAATCTACCTAGAACGGGCGTGCATGGCAACCTGCATGTCGCTAGGAGTGCATGGCGACCTACCCAACGGCGTGCATGGTGACCTACCCTACGGCGTGCATGGCGACCTTGACATCAACACAACTACGTCGCCCGGAACACTTGGCGACCTGCATGGGGACTGTAGAGTTCACCCTATCTCAACAATTAATCTGACGAGAACATTATTTCGTGAAAAAAAATTTGAGAGGATTATCTCATTGATTTTGCCGTTGGACATGATGGTCTTCAAGTATGGTTGTCCCTTCACTACTACGAGATTGCACACCACTCAGATTTATCAGATGTGGTCTCGGCCATCGTGGAGCACAGGTAGGATTTTCCTTTCCTTTTCCCATTTGATTTATTCTCTAATTTTTTTACCCTTTTCCTTCGTAGTTTTTGTTCAGAGGTGGAGATGTGTGGACTGTTAAAGGTTTTTGTCTTGGTGCTATAATCGGGAACCATTTGTGTCTGGTCGGATTTTATGAGAGAGCAAAGGGGTGGCAGAGGCTGTACCTGTTGACCTAGATCCGCAAGGGCTGCATCAGTCGCCGACAACAGCACCAGGGGCATTGATTAACCTGAATATTAAGGGTTTTTGTCCCTTTTTGTTTGTTTGTATTTGTTCCTTTTATTGTATTTTATAATTTATAAATGTTTTGTATTTTTTTATTTTTAAAAAAATTTGTATTTAATTGTAATTTATAAATAGTATTGTACTTATTGTGATTATAAAAAAATATGTACTTTTGTAATTTATTAATAGTTTTGTTCTTTATGATAAATTTTAGAAAGTTTAGCCTCTTATTACAATTTTGATTTTTTAGTTTTAATAAATAAATTATGATGATATTTTTTCCGTCACTAATGTAATAAATTTATTATATTTTATGATGATTTAAATAATCAGGAACAAAAATGTATATTTAATGACATAATCAAAGGTCATTGAATATAAATTATAGTGACGTTATGCATTAACGAAACTATATATTTAATAATAGAGACGAAAATATATATTGTCACATTTGACATTTAGTGACACACCTAACGTGACGTTCGTTGTGACGTCTACTTTTACGTCTTAAAATATAAACAATGACGTAAATGTATATTACAGTGACAATATTTAGGTGTCACAAAAATAAATTTGTTGTAGTTTGTCTTTCACTTAATGTTTGATCTTATAGTAGGAGAGGAGAATTTACATTTTTAAGAGAGGTAAAATTTTTAGAAATACGAAAATAATTATCAATTGAAAATTAAGAAAAATATTTAAAATAAGAATAGATTCGACTTACCTATAAATTAATAAATTTACACTAATTTATAATAATTAAATTTAATAAATAGATAATTAATTAATTAAATTTTGTAACTCAAATAAAAATTTATTTAAATAAATTTAATTAAAATTTTGTAGCTCAAATAAAAATTTATTAACTCACATTAAAAAATCTCTTTTACCTAATCTCAAATCTTAAACCCTAAATTTCAAAATCTCAAACAATAATCAATAAATAACTTCTTTCTCATTCTCTGTTGTAAACCGACGTTAGAATTAGGATGATGAGGAAAGTCGTTACTTCTTATGTGGTTCTTGCGGCAACCACATCCTCAATGCCATCAAGAACAACTTCTTTTCTAAGTATCATCTCTCTCTCTCTCTCTGCAACGCCAACACACCGTAAATATCTTTCGAACAACTCGATCATCTTTTGCGACATTTGATTACGTAATAAAGGACAATAATAACTTTAGATTCAAATGCCCCTAAAATAATCAATATTTTCATATGAATCCTTCTCAATTCATATTCTTTATGCTTTACTCAAAATAATAATAATATAATAATATAATATAATAATAGAAATTTGTTTAATTTAATAAATATTAGTAAATTTGAGTAGTTAAAATTATTTTATATTTAATATTTAGTATTAATATATTATTTTATGAGGTGAAATATATTATTGTAGAAATGTAATTATTTAAAATAATATTAATTTTGAGTTATTAAAAATATCTTATATAAATTAATATGTCCACTCGAGATCACAATATTGTTTTTCATATTATGTTATATTTTATATATAATATGATACTTATGAAAATTATTTAAAATTACAATTTTAATATACTACTTTAATATATTAATATATTTAAAGTATTTTCTTTAACTTAGATAGTGTAATAATTAAAATATTTTATAAATTTTCATTCAAATTTATAATTTGATATTAAAGTTTTAGTTGTTAAAATATATTATAACATGAATTATTTGGTAAAATATATATTCAAGTAATCTTATATTCCTCTAATTAAACAATGAAATCTTACCTTCCTACTAAGTTAACTAAATAGGATAACATAACATTCCTAGAGTAAAATTATATTCCTATAATCTTATATTTGAATGAACCGTTATCTTATCTTGCCGCCTTTTCCATTTGTTTCCAATTTAGGGCAAACCTCAAACCAGGTGTAGGCCGGATTTTAGCTGCTCGTAGGAAATACTCACTTTGCTTCGTCCAACAAGTCACCTCCATCCGAAGGTAAACATAGGATACAACTGCCAGCTACAGCCCAGTCGGACGTATTTGGCAGCATAAAATCTGTTTTGCAGAAATCAGTTAAGGGAATCTAGTGGTTATGCAAGGACAGTACAGCTGGCATTCAATTCTTAACGAATTCATTATATACTGGTTGTAAAACAAATGAAATTATGAATGAAAATATATGAAGTTCTTCCTTCATCTATATTTCTCTTAAACCCTTTCTATCTTCATACGAATCATTGCAAAATAAACCAAAGAAAGTCAGAAACCTCTCGTTGCTTAAATCCATTTGATGAAAGATCATTACTGGTAATCAAGAAATAGCTCATTCCATTCAAGAAAAGAAAAAAAAGAAAAAGAAAGAAATCTCTCATTGCCTCTTCGTCCCAACTGAACATGTATGTGAGAAAGAGAATAACTTCTTTCCCATGCCCGTTTGCAGAAACCTTCGTTATCTTCCTCCCATTCCCAATGACGGATTCTCCAGACCCGTTACCTTCTGAATGATGAGGAAAGTCGTTACTTCTTATATGGTTCTTGCTGCAACCACATCCTCAATGCCATCAAGAACAACTTCTTTTTCGAGTATTATCTTTCTCTCTCTCTCTATACATATACATATATAATCTGTGAGTGACTTCTTCTTTGAACTTAAATTTCAGATGCAATGGACGGCGCGAATGGAGTGGACTTAGATGGATTCTCTGCAACGCCAAACACCGTAAGATATATCTCCGTCGAACACTCGATCACCTTTACTACATCTCATTACGTAATAAAAGACACTAATTAACTAAACGTTAATCTTTGTGCTTCATTGATATATAGTGTCAATCCACGGTTCGGTTCTATAATGACTGTTTTGACTCACTATGGTCGACCAGTGGTGGATTCCTATTCCAATGAAGATGGTTGTTCATACTCTACTCTATTATTTCATTTGTATATTCCTGCAATTTTTTTAATTATGTTGCTTAACAGTGTATAAGAAGCACTACCCACCTGCATTGAATGATGAAGTATGGAGATTGGAAAAGATTGAGAAAGATGGGTCATTTCTCAAGAGGCTTAACACTGCAGGAATACTAACTGTTGAAGACTTTTTGCGACTTGTTGTCAGGATCAGCAAAAGTTACGAAATGTGAGTTTGGATTTTGGTTCCGAAATCAAAAGACTATTCCATTGTAGTTGCATTCTGAGTTTTCTGTATGCTGTGTTTGTGATTCTGGGAAGTGGCATGTCAAATAAGATGTGGGAAGCTCTTTAGATCATGCAAAGACTTGTGTGCTGAGTGGGAAGCTCTATGTTTACTATACTGATGATTCAAGAACCAACGGTGTTGTTTTCAATAATCTACGAGTTGAATGGCCTTATTTCTGGGGAACAATATTTACCTGCCGATTTCTATCTGATAGTCAGAAGGTGGGTAGGATTATATGCTTTTTTGCAATTTCTAATGAAATGCAACATTGCAATAGTTCTTTTCTCTTTGGAAGTTACCATGTGGGATGCTCTAGCAGCAATGTTTTATAGGTGTAAAGAGATTTCTTTTTGCAGTATTTCTCATATTTATATATATTTTTTTTGAACATGTTGGTTATAGGGCCTATGTTGCTCCAGACTTAATTTTTCTTGAAGTACCGGTGCAGTGTCCGACACTAGTGTTTGACTCATATTCAAGAGTATGGCGATAAACCCTAAAGTAACCCTTAAATAAATGGGGAAACTTTTCTTAAAAAACTGAACATACCTGTACGTAACACTCGTAGCTGTATCCAACGTGCATACCTGCATCAGACACGCATACCCATCCCAAGTTTAGTGTAGGACTGTTCTATACAATTTAACCGTCTTATGTGCTAAGATAATGGCCTTTCCCATTTCATGTTGTATATATATAATGATTATCTGCTTTCTTTAGAACATTGTTTTATTTATATTTGGATAGAGGGTATCGCTTATGTGCTAAGATATGGACTTTTCCCATTTCATTTGTATATACAATAATGCTGTTTGTAGATTCTGGCATGTCAATAAGATGGAAGCTCTTTTAGATCATGCAAAGACTTGTGTGCTGAGTGGGAAGCTCTATGTTTACTATACTGATGATTCAAGAACCAGTGGTGTTGTTTTCAATAATATATACGATTTTCTGGACTCATGTGGTTCTTACGGCAACCACATCCTCAATGCCATTAAGAACTTTATCCGAGTATCATCTCTCTCTCTCTATACATATACATATTATAATAATCTGTGAGTGACTTATTCTTTGACTTAAATTTTCAGGCCCCGAATGAAGTGGACTTGGACGGAATTCTCTGCAACGCCAACACACCGTAAGATATATTTCCCGTCGAACAACTCGATCACCTTTTGCTACATTTGATTACGTAATAAATGACACTAATTAACTAAACGTTAATCTTCGTGCTTCATTGAAATATAGTGTTAATATGCGAAAGATTGTTTTGACTCACTATGGTAGACCAGTGATGGATGCCTATTGCAATGAAGATGGTTGTTTCTCCATCCTTCGCGTGAAGTTTGTAAGTTCTTTACTCTTTATTTTTTTGCTTTGTGTTTATATATACTAAATAATTATCCTCATGTCTCTTATTACGTTTGCAACCGATGCTTTTGTAGGTAAGTGAAGAGGTGGAAAGAGCTTTGGCAAAATTAGCACCCCCAACACTTAATGGAAGGTAAATAATTAATGTCTGACCATATACTGTGTAGTTATTATTGTCCTTGCTTTGTGGAGTAGCATTGGTCAAGTAACTGCTTAATTTTGGAAGAACAAACATTATTAATGCACGAATATGAAAACCATAAAATAAGCTGGGTTTTGCGACTTTTACTAGATTTTTGGTTGGTTGATTGGTATTTTAGTTTTTTTTAATAAGATCGATAAAGAAGCATAGTGGGAATTAAGTGTAGTTTGTTTTCATTTTCTTCTTTTTTTTAACAAATAACCAACCTTTCTTTAGCCAAGTATGCAACATTTTTTTAATGTAGAAAATCTTCTAATATTTTTGGTTTTCAGGTCTTCTCCAAAACGGCTTGATGGTCCAGATGGAAGTAGCTTACAGCTCCACTTTAGATCCAGGCTGTCCCTTTCTATTTTCACTGCAGGAAAGGTAGAAGTTTTATGTTTATATAAATATGATATCTCTTTCAATCTCTTCAAAATCTCTAAAATTCTATGAATCCTAATTTTTCAATCCTCCTCCGCTCTTAATCGTCTTTTAAAATTTGAACAATTAATTATTCGATTGATGAATGCAGAATGCATTTATCCAACAAACAACATTCAGGATGCAAAAATTTGGGATGAACAAGCAAAGACAAAAAGAACTCGAGGTCGAATATAAAATTTCAGATGTTGATAAAAATAGAAAAGTTATTGGGATCATTGACTCCGGCATAAATGTTAATCACGAATCATTTCACGATAAGAATATTGTTGATGACAAATGAAAAAGTGGTCATATAAAAGTTCCTTACAGAAGGTAAAATTTCTATTTTTTCATTCAAAATTAATTCATATATTTTTACTAGTTATAAAAAATTTTCTTTTCATCATCTAACTGAAATCACTTGTTATAAAAATAATTTATTGCAATTACTCTACTATATTAACATTTGTGTTGTTTTACAATGCAGAAAAATGCTGGCATTGAAGAATTTTAACAACATGTTTAATTTGGTTGGTTCCTATTTAATAGAAGATATAATTAGTCATGGAACTACTTGTGCATCAATTGCTGCTGGTTCCCTTTTAAGTTTAGAGTGTTTAAGGTATCGATGAATTTCAAAGGAAATCAGTGGTGCTAATCCAAATGCACGGATTGCTTCCTATAAGGTCTTGGAAGTGCATGGACATACGGAAAACCATACATAGCTATAAATGATGACGAACTTCTAGCTGCAATTCAATAAGCCATTGATGATATGGTTGATGTAATATATGTATCTTTGGCAAGATCAATGTCGGAACATACAAGTTACTTTCAAGAAAAGATGAATCTTGGAGCTTTTCGTGCCATTAAGAAAAATATTGTGGTATGCTATTCAGCTGGGAATTTTGGTGATAAAGCAGTAATAAGTTCTTTACCACCCTGGGTAATCACAGTTGGATCATGTAATTCAGGAGGTAGATTTATAACAAATTTTGAGTTGGGGAGTGGAAAAATATTGAAGGTAACTTTTATTTCATTTATGAAACATATAATACTTAATTTACTGCTTATTTTAATACATTTTTTTCCTCAATTAGGGAATTGGTTCATTCATCACTGAAGATCAACAAAACCATGAACATGAAGTTGTTTTGTGTTCCAAGTAAGTTAATTATCATTTATAATATTTTAATTTTTACATTTTAATAGATTGAAATATGAACATGATTACTGTCTTGTAGTTGTTATAAAGAACAATCAAGGGAACAAACATATATGCAAACAAATGTGGTTGTTTGTCATCACATGGAGTGTCCACTGGCCGATAGTTTAACAGGAAAAGTAGCAGGGATTTTGTTTCTGATCGCACTCTTGATGTTGATATAGAGTGTGCGTTCCAAATCCAAAAACTTTTTCCAGGTAGGGAAGATAGAACACTGATCGAGGCTTACATGGACAAGTGCAGGTATGTTTTTTTAAGAGAGAGAGAGTTACACTCAATATTATAAATTAAATAGTAAACTTTATAAATATCTTTTTTTTCCAGGCGATCAGAAGAAAGACCCACTCTGAAGTTTTTAGGGAGTACTTACGAAGAAAATGAAAATATCTGTAGAGTAAGTAACTACTCCGGAAGATGTATTCATCCATACGATGGATATATCCTCAAGGTAGTTATAATTTCTATGATTTTATGTTTTAAATATGCAAATACATTTTACTTGATTACTTATTATTAAACAAAATTTAAAACAATATATGTTTTTATTTTGTAAATTTTAATAAATGATATATATTAATGATTTGTTTTAATTTTAATTTTGCAACAGCCATATATTTGTGCTCCAGGAGAGAACATTTTATGTGCATCTAAATGGGATTCAATTAACATGTATGGAAATTATTGCCTTGCCCAAGGCACTTCAGCATCTACTGCAATGGTGGCTGGAATGGTTTCTTATATCATGACAATACATCCCGAATGGGAACTTCAAGAATTAAATCTGCCATCATGACTACACATCGTGTTAAATTAAATTAAATTTACTTTTTCAATGATAACCACATAAAGTTATATGTATGTTAAATATGTAAGTTGTGATAATATATGAAATAGAAATCAATTTATATATTAGCGAGTTCATATATCATGAATTTTTTTGCATGACAGCAATACCTATGGAAGTCAGGAATGAAAGAGATTATGGCAATCGGGGCTGGACGAATAAATCCCTTACAAGCAATTCATCCCGGTTTAGTCTATGACATAACTTGGGATGAATTTAGGAGGTACTTGTTAAGTCGTGAAGAAGACAAAAGAATGTTATCTGAAATAGGGAAATAGATTCGGGAGAAGAAATAACGGGGCAAATTGAATTTACCTAGCTTTAGCCTGATCATAGGAAACGAGACTTCCTATACATTTAATAGGGTGGTTACAAATGTGGGGCCTAGCGGTAAATGTACCTATACAGCTGATATTGTGCGGGGAACGATATGTCCATATTACATTAGATTTTCTGTTGAGCCTTCTACATTGCAATTCGGCAACGTCGAAGAAAAGCAACATTTCAAAGTAAGAATAGAATAATAAGAAGCTCGACCGTAGAAAGCAATATGGTTGCGTATGCGAGGCTAGTATGGACTGAACAAGGAGTTACCGAGCCACACATCGTTTCCAGCCCTATTGTTATAAGGGGTCCAACTTTTGGTTAGTTATAATTAAATTAGAACTTTGATTACTTGTCAAATTTTATCCTCCAAACTAATTTTCTTCTTTCATTTATACAGGGTTAGAAACTGGTTTACGCTCGCATGATATACTTCAGGAACTTCAAGCCCAAGAACGTCTGAAAGGCCGAGAGCATCAAAGGAAAGGGAAAGAACTTGCGATCGGACTTTAGGTTTTTTAGTATGTTTTTCTTTACCTGTCATAATTGTATTGCTTTTAAACATATACTATGAACTATTTTGTTTCTTAGGTTGTTTGGATGGTTCCTGGATTGATTTAATTTTGAAGAGTTGTAATCAGACACATTTTTCTCTACTAGTGTGATCTTCCAAGTGTAAAAAACTTAGCAAAGGGATATACTTTGTATTGTTCTCTTCAATTACAAAGTATATCCCTTTCCAAAAAAAAAAACTTAGCAAAGGAGTTTGAGGGCTGATGAAACTCACAAGGTTAGCAAAGGAGTTGTAATCAGACACATTTTACTCTATCGCATATTTCGGGCAAGAGGAAACCTACAAAGCTTGTTTTATTTTGTGTTCGTTTTATTTTGGTACTAAACACGTAAAATCAGTGGAATTAATGTAGCAAGATTTTGACGTTGGCATTGTTTCAACATCCAAGCATCCATCCCTATTACCAACCAGGTTAAATTCATGGATATAGTGATCAAATATCTAACTCAAACCTTCAAATGCTATCCAAATTACCAAACCAAACTCAGAATTAACAAAGATTCAAATATTTGTGGGGTTGCACCAGCTTCTGGACCGGGTGGCTCCAAAGATTTAACATGGATAATAACGACCTTCTACAGGCCAAGGAGTAGGAGGTGGCTTCGGAAATAGAACATGATATTCCCCAGGCATCACAAATTCAACATCAGCTAACCCTGGAATACCAAAATAAACATATGCATTAATTTCCATACATAACACACAAATTATTAGTTAAAATTTAGTAAACTGGACCAGCAATTTTATCAGCTTTCCTCAGTCATGTAAACTTCCTTTATTCTTGGATCTTCGTTGCTGCTAATAACCAACTCCTTCACTGTCGATGAAACACAATAAAAAAAATTTGCAATCTCAATATTCAATCTAATTCAATGCAAGTAGCAGTTAAACAACATATAATAATCAAACCGAATCAAGTGGAAGTGGAAGAGCCATGCTACTTGGGAAGGTGTCTAAAATCAAGCACCCTGTTCGTAACGACTTAAACCAGGAAAAAATCTTACAGTGTAAAACTGCAATTGCACAATCAAGTTAGCTCAAAAAAATAATAATGCATCATGTCAACTATTTATAATCCCTCTTTGAAAAACATTCTAGGGGCAAACCAAAGAGTAAACCAACATTTCTTCCCTCCTCGTCTGTGCTCTGTTCAGGTTCAAGGGTTTGCTGCCTGCAAACACATAAAGTGTTCAATGAGAAAGCAAACAAGTTAAATCAAAGACAACACACTGTAAACCTTGTAAGGCATACCAGCGCTTGTTAATTCTTTGTAGCATAAATCCACCACAACCAAATAAGTATGTGGATTCCCAAATTCCATAAAATTAAAACAAATTGAACACAGACTCCCATAAAATCAAAAATAGTCGATGAGAAAGTGAAACACCGAAGCATTGAGAGGAAAATGGAAAGGCATAGAATTCCGGGATTAAACATTTCTTCAGGTTTCAAGTCATGTGAATCAGCTGCAGAAACATATCATTCAAAGCAAAAAGGAAAAAATAGAGGTTGTTGAATACCAATTTCTCTGCATTTTCCGACATATCTTCGTCCCTCTGAGTATTCGGTGTGGTCTCATCTGAATTCACATGTCAAATGACAATTTATGATTCAAAATTGAGCAACAGGCAACAGACAGAGGAAAAATACTTGACAATACAATCCATATGAATTTCTAAATACAACTACAAAAAACATTGAAGGCTAACAGTGCCTCCCTCTCTTTCTCACGATAGATTTCATTAACACGTCTTCACTGCTTTTACTCCCTCAGATCTGTTTTACTCCAATCTCTATCTTAATTACCTCCTTCTTCGGACCTTAATAGTTGTTTTAAAAACCTAGGTTCTCGAATCCTTTCTTTTCTCCATTGAAACTTGTTTGCTTATGATCTGAGGAGACTAGAACATTTATTTTTTGCTTATGATTTAATTGCTTGAGCGAATCAAATAAGGGTCTTGAATCGGAATTATTTAGGATTTTCGGATCGTTGTTAACGAAAGATGTGGCTACAGTCGGCGACTAAAACAACCAAGCACGAAGAGGAGAATAATAATAAGGTAAAGGTTTTCATTACTGGAGAATCCTTGGGTAACACAGAAATATGCACCGTTGCACTAACAAGGGAGATCAATATTTAGGGCAGGTTACATCAAAGGTCACTAAAGTTTTAATTAGTTTCTATTTTGCAATTGAAATTTTTAAAAATTACAAACAACACTAATATTATATTTTATAACATAACAATAACTCAGCAGTTAACCCTGTCACTTCAATTACGAAAGTATGACATTTCAATAAAGTAATGCACATCATCAGTGAAAAAATAAAATATACCATTATTGAAGCCACCCAAGACGCCACATCCAATTTGAAGACAAAAACGAGGCAAGTGTCGATAATAATTTATCCAGTTATTCAAATTATGATAGGATACCGATGCAAATGCCGGAAACCCTATGGATTACGGTAATTATGCAATGATAAGTTGAATATTGATCAAAATCCTGGGAACTATTATGAAATTATACGGATTACAGCAACTACCAATTGGGTGTTGATCCGAATAGTGGAGCACTGATGTACTACTACTTATGGGAGTTATGTGAATTACAATGTACAATAATGAGAATAATTAGTTGATGGGTCGGCAACTACTATGTTGCCGGAGCCCTCAGGGCTGGCTGAACTTGGGGTGAAAGTTAGGAATGAGAGGAGGAATGAGACCAACAGAAATTGTTGAGGTGAAGCAGGGCTTATGAAGAATCGGCCGAGGGAAGATCAGGTTAAGATGACCGTGATAGATTTTGGGCCATCATCAGGTATTGAACTTAAAACATAATTACTTTATCAGCTGTTGGTCTAATTTTTGTCTAATGATATTTGCATTGCCATTTGATCCTGGTTTGGCATGAGCTAGTTGTTTGTCTCTTTGCTGTTGTAGTTATTAGTTTATGTTTTAGATTTCGAATAGATTATTCAACAAAACAGCATACCAATCAACCGAATTCCCATCGACAGTTTCTTCAGGTTTCCGTAAAATAAAAACAGATTGACACAGACTCCCATAAAATTCAAATAGCTAAGTGAGAAAGTGAAACACAGAAGAATTGAAGAGGAAAATAGAAAAGAATAGAATTCCAGGATACCTTCCTTTCTTCACCCCCATTACAGTTTCTTCAGGTTCGCAGTCATGTCTGGATCAGCTGCACGTCATATGTGAGAAACATATTGTTAGGAACAGATCTGCAATTTCAAAGAAAGAAGAAATATAGAAAGAGATAGAGAAGCAAGAGGAATTGGAGAAGAGAAGTATTTAAGGTAACAATTGCAAAATCCATTCTGTTACAGCTCCTTTTCCTTATAAAGCAATTAACTCAATGCATAAATTCATCCAACGTCTTTGGCTCTTTTTGACATGTGTTCTCTCGTACAGCTGTAGTGGTTATGATAGTCGACTTGGTTGCTCTCTTAATCCCTGTTCATAACAATACCATCCCCTCGGAAAAGAACCTTGTCCTCAAGGTTCTTAGCCGGTATTGTTCTTCGAAACACCTCCATAGGCATCCAAGCACCTGTCTAAGGTTCTTTTTCCTCTATGAAAGGGGCGGCACAATAAATTCTATTGTGTAACTTGCACTTTTGAAAAGTTGTCACCATAGACGGAAAATACATGTAACTTACATTTCAGCAGATGTAATCATGTAACTTTTTTCATCTTGGCACTATCCTCCCGTAGCGCAAGTCTTAATCTACTATTCTCTTCTAGATCAAAATAAAATAACTGAACTTTCCTTTATCATATGATTGTACTTGGCAAACAAACCCATCTCTTGCTTCTTCTTTGTTACAGCAACAGAATAAAAATGAGCACATTTTTTCAACCTACCTAAAAATCGGTTGCCCCAACAGAAGTGGGCAAATAGTCATATTCCATTAGGTGCCCTTTAAAACATTTGCAAACTAATGGTCTTGATTAGAACACCAAGTTTACTAAAAGTGCAGCAAACATGGTGTTCACGGGCCCAAAACTTGAAGATCTAGCTCCAATTCTTGGTTATTAGCTTCAACAGCCTCAAAATCTGGTATAGGTTGATCTAGTGGTTATGTGGTGTGGTTCTTAAGTTGTTGTGTTCAGTCAGTTTTTTAAGGATTCTGGTTTTAGCGTGCAGTATGTGTTATGTTTTTAAGTCTTAGTTACAAGCAGTCTATGGTTAGGATTGGTTGTATGTTGATTCAGATTAATAAAATTCAGAGGCACTCTTTTCCTCCTTCCTATGTCCTTCATGTTACTGATATAACATGCAGGATATGAAGGGGGTTTTTAATGAGGTCTACCTTCTATAAAAAAAAAACAGCCTCAAAATCAGCAGTGTCATACTGTTGTCTTTTAGCTGGATTAGACAAATATTATAGAAATGTGACATCCTTGAACATATCAACTACAACAAGGTCACTTCTATTCCTTTCAGGATGGTACTTTAAAGCCATTATCCAGTAGGTGCTCTTAATTTCCTCCGCTAGTACCAACATAAAATAAGGTTCATTTGTTCCAATCTTCACACATTCAACACAAACTAGTTCATAAATGGTGGCACTAGTCATTCCTTCGACAACAACAAATGATCCCGACACCATGTAATCATGAATATAAAATGTTGCCACAATAATCATTCTTTGAAGCATGTCTCTCTTATATTTAGAGATGCATCTATCACCACAACTCTAATAATCCCCCTTGAATGAAGCATATCTTTGTCCATTAGTAACACCTAAAGCATAAGATCTTGCACTACCATAAACTCATCAAAATTTATAAGCATTGATTTTCCATGCCGATTAGGCCATCATGAACAATTCCTAATAACACTTGTAGGTGGTTCGGAGCAATTTCATCCTTAAAACATAACATGTAAAACATCACTTGGCTTGTCCATTGCCCTTATAATTTTTTTCAATCATTAAATAACTGATTTCGTGTTCCTGGTGATGTGTCTGGCAAGTGTTTGATAATTGTTCGATGAGAAAGTTATTATCAAATGCAGTCGTCATACCTAATTTCACCGTCCTGTTTAGCAATTCTTCGCCCTTCATCTCCTCGCCATGGATAGAGAGCCGTAATCATTGGGTTGACGAATCGAAGAATCAAGTCCCATTTTCTGAACCATTGATCAAAAGTTTTAGTGTTAACTGACGCTGACATTGTGTCGAACACTGGTGGAGCTTTGTGCCTGAATCGTCTAGCTTGATTCCACTTTCCCGATTCATAGATTTCAGGTTGTGCTTTGGACGTCAATCCCAACTGTGATGATATAACTGCTAGTTGATGTTGCACATCTTGAAGCATCCGGTAGATCATTTCGCTCACTTGTTTCTGCACTTCGGCATGCACTTGCAGAGAACCCAGAAGATGTTCGTGATGAGCAACAGTCTCCTGCAGACTTTTAATGGCCTCTGTGTCATTCACCATAGCTTAGTCTCTCAACGAGAGCACAAATGTTAGGAAAAAGAGAATTCCAGGATCACCTTTCTTTTACACCCCCCTAACATTTTCTTCAGGTTTAGCAGTCATGTCTGAATCAGCTGCAGTCATATGTGAGAAACATCCATACTTATCATACAAAGCGAAAAAGGAAAAAGAGAGAAGCTCGTTGAATACCAATTTTCTCTGCATTTTCCGACATATCTTCCTCAATCTGAGTATGTCCTATTATGTGACTCATCTGAATTCACATGTCAAATAAAAATTTATGATTCAAAATTGAGCAAACCAGGCAACAAACAGAGGAAAAATAGTTGACAATACAATCCATATGAATTTCTAAATACTAACTACAAAAACATATTGGAAGGCTAACAGGCGCCTTTCTTTTCTCCATTGAAACTTGTTTGCTTCACAACAGAGCTGTGACACTGAGGAGGCTTAGAACATATTTTTTTCGCTGATGGCTTGAACTTAGGCATTTTTATTCGAAGTTATTTAGGATTCTCGGTAACGGGGGGATGAGCAGTGATGATTGCACATATTAGTAGGCAGGTAGAGGACATCAATCTGATTCGGCGAATAATGTTGAGCTAGGGTTTGAATTTTTTTCATTATCGATTTCGTTGAAAGTCAGAGGGGATCATCTTCGTTAACGAAAGAATCATGTGCTTCTGAATAAAAAAAAGAAGAAGAAGATAGAGAGACGAAGGACAAACCTTTACCGGATGGCTGGCGAGAGTGGCTACGGTCGGCGACTAAAACAACCAAACACGGAGAGGAGAATAATAATAACAGTAAAAGGTTTTCGATCCCAATATAGGGTTTGACGCAAGGATAATAATTTATTTTAAATTAAAATATATAATATTTTATTTATAATTTTTGGGTAAATTACACTTACTCACTGAACTTTACCCTATCTCCTATTTTACTCAATGAACTTTCAATTTTTTTAATTTGTTCACTGAACTCTATACATTGAATATTTTTTTCAGCCTGCCGTGAATTGTTTAACAATGTTATTATAACATGACAAGTTTATATCAAAACGAAGTAGTTTTGAATCTTTAAAAAAATCAATTTTAAATTAAAATGATGTTGTTTTGATCTAAAAAAAATAAATTTCTTTTTTTTTCTCTCTTTTTTTTGTCATTTCCCTTCTCTCTTTCTTTATCCTCATCCATCTTCTCTGTATTTTATGTTCTCAACCTGAAAAAAATTCAGTTTCCGATCATCAAGTCGATCGTCGTTATAACCACTGTCAACAACCATCTTTATTTTAACGGTTCAAATTATCTGCAATATAAAAGTTGTAGGAGCCCCAATAGGATTGAACAACGAATGGGTAAGATCAACATTTTCCTTTTACTTTTTTCAGACTCATCTCTAAGACTCAAACCAATCTTGATAGATTTTACCCCAAATCTTCCGAGGAGAAAAAGGCTTATTTGGTTTATCAGAGTTAAAGAGTTAAATCTTGGAATCTAGAGTTGGATTTTCATAGCCATCAAACCCAGAAAATCCAAGTTTACCATTAAAGACAATCCAAAGGTTGACTACAACTACCCAATGAATCAAAACTTCAAAAAACAATTCATCGTTTCTTGGATTTTCTCAAAGTTTGTCATTTCTTTCATTCTTCGCATTTTCATTCTCTACATATTTCACACAACAAGCTTCTTAATGCTCCAAACAATTTCACTTCTGGTTTAATGTCATTTCTCATCTATAGGAAAAATTTCCCTCTCATTGAATGCTCCCTATAATGGTGGAGAAAAATTCTTATCCATCAACCACCCGTTTCATCTCTCAAACCAAATGTCATGTCATTTCTCATTTTATTTTAATAAATTATAAATCCTATGTGACATATCATAATATTAAAATAAGCCACATAATCACCCCGTTAACGAACTAATGAAAGAGTGACCAAACAAATTCAATGTTTAAAGTTCAATAAACAAATGAAAAAAATTAAAAGTACGGTGAGTTAAATAAGAGAGCAAAGTTTAGTGAATAAGTGTATAATTTACCCATAATTTTTTTTAAAATTATACTAAGTCTATTCTTTCAAATAGAAATATCATTCTATATTAAAATTAATAAAAAAAGGAGAAAATTACTGAAAAGCAACAGTAAAAATACAACTTAAAATTCCTTAAAGAAAAAATTACTCCTATTGGTTGATAACCTCTATATTCATCATCGTACTAGAAGTGGTGGTTGTCGTCAAGCCTCGAATTTCTTTGTACTAGAAGTTTATCGCCATCGTCATCGTCAATTTACCTTGATGATTGTTCAACATTACCATGAACTAATAAGTTGTAAAGGTGGATGATCAGTCGTAAAAAATAGTGAATGCGAAGCTGTGAGAAACATTCCACCGTTGGATGGAGGTGAAAATGGAGAGAATGACGACGATGAATAGGAGGTTGGTAACTGATATACTAGAGTAGTGGTGTTAGCCTTGACGCATATGCAACATACGTCGAGTTCGACATCATTGGTGTGTAAAAATCTTGTTGCATTGGACTATAATTGCCTAGAACATTCGACATCGATGGGGACGATAAAAACGACTATATAAGCTCGAAGGGTGTTGATGATGACAACACATAAATGTTCCCTCCTTCATGATTCCCCTGATACAGTAAGGGTTAATGGTGTTGCGTTGGTTAATGCCTTTCGCATCGTCGATGAATTTCTCGACTCGGTCTGAATCAAACAATAGGAATCTATTTCCATACTGAGAAATCATCTCATATATTTTTAGAAATCCCATATCAAGATTTTAAATTATATAATCTTTTATTTATAACTTTTTTAAAATAATACTAAGTGTATTATTTTCAAATAGAAATATCATTCTATATTAAAATTAATAAAAAAAGAGAGAAATTTACTAAAAATAAACATAAAAATACAACTTAAAATTCCTCTAAGAAAAATTACCCCTATCGTTATAATATCTATATTCACGAGTCCTACATCGTGGTGGTTGTCGTCACGCCTCGAAGTTCTTTGTACTAGAAATTCGTCATCATCGTTGCCATCAATTTACCTTGATGATTGTCCGACATTACCATGTACTGATGAGTTGTAAGGCATATACCAATGCTTATTAATTCTTTGAGTGTTTATTTGTTGATACAACGGATTTTCCATTTGTAATGATACAGATGAGTTCTTCTTCGTTAACCAAAGAATTATTAGTTGTTCTTGAATTATATATAATAAATGTAGAGAAGAAGAAATCTTTACAAGAGGCTAATGACGGCATCTACAATAGACAACTATAAACGAAGACGGAGGGGAGAATGGCATTGGGGAAATGTTTTTCCGATTGTAAGAAACCAAGAAAATTAGTCAGTAAGGTTTTGATTAATTTCTTTTTTTTAGAATATCTTCTTATTTTTGTATTGTTAATTTCAGTATTTGATTCTCTCTTATCCGATGATGATAAAAAAGTATACAATTGGATCTTAACACATACATATATAGTTCAACTAGTTTTTATGCAGCAACATTTTAAATATTGAAACTGTCGATACTTTTTTTTGATAATTTTATCATGTTTTTTTAGCTTGTTTAAATTATGTATATTGCTTTATTCTATTAACTTTATTTTTCATAAAAGTAGTGGATTGCTATGCCCGCTCTTAAAACATGATATTTGTCTCTTCTTGTAATATGTCTTCTATTTTCTCCAAATTTGGATTTGATATTATCTTTACATTTGATTGAAGTTTGTGTCTATTATCTTTTCGAATCGTTTAAATTTATTTGATTAAAGTTTACATTTTAATAAAATAGGAATTGATATTATAACAAACTTTATCAGGCCACTTTAAGCCTGCGTTTTCTTCTGCTACTTGATTTTGATGAAACTCGAATTCCCTGCCGGCCATTCCAATGTGTTCGGGTTCTCTATCCCCTCGTTTGTTTTGTCATCAAACCACTCTCCTATGCCTGTCTTCATTAATCTTAACAGACATCTTTCCACGACGTCTTGGTACTCTCGGAGCTTGGCTTACAATGGCTTTCCCTTGTGTTCTTGCTAGCAGGTCTTCTCTCCTTTCCCATAATCAGGCGTAATCAATGAAATTGATTTTTCCAGGTGATCTTTGCTGCTCTCTCTCTTCTGTTTTTACTTTCGTGAGAAGTAGATGTAACCTGGTTCTGGACGATGTTCACATCTGGCATGGTCTCGCTCGGATCTCGGTCCAATTTGCTGCACGAAATGATAACATAAAGCAATGATCATTTACGACATCCACGTAGAGGAAAAAAAGGGAGCAGGCTTGAACAAAGATCACTGATACAGGTACAGATATGTGCTAACTAAGTTCGATAACGGCAACAGAACTGAAAGTGTATTTGCGCAAACCGTTTGAGGTAGTTTGTTTCTTCAACATCACAGGTTTCAAGCTATATTGGTCTTCTTGCAACTTCTTTCGCTGCTCTAAGCAATTTTCCAACCACCGAGATCCCAAAACTGAAGCCCCTTTTTCCAATAGAAGATTTTCTCTTCGAAAGAACAACTACAGAAAGAACAAAGTCAAACAGCCAGCCCAGGATTTAGATGGGAACCGTAGACAAGCTCTGTAAAATAGGCAAACAAAAAGAGATTTGGCCATTCTATGCCAAGATGGTTATATCTCAATTAGCCATTTTTACCCTATGTTATCCAAGTGAAACAAAGCTGAAAGTAAACATGATAAACTAAAAGTCCATCGCCATAGAAGAATAATGCCTTCAGAATATCACAATCAAGAAGAACTCAAATAACAATCCCTTTTGAAGTAACAAACAATCGTCCAAGAATTATATGAAATTTCAGTTGCCAAATCCCAATAGCAAGTTTTAATATTCGAGAATATCTCAAATGTTTTACAAAAACCATGTTTTAATGAATTTCATAAACCTAAAAAGAAGCCAGCAAAAAAGAACTAAACTGGGTCCAATTACAATCCCAAGTAACAAAGAATATTGTTTTTTTCCCCTTAAAAAAGATAGTTCCTTATTCACAATGTGGAACGAGTTCCTGAATATCATTTAATGTAAATTCATTTTTCATTGATATAATGCCACATAATAAGACAGAGGACTTGCTAATTTCACCAAAGAGGAAAACAACCACATAAACTAATTGTTCGTCAATTTCACATGTTGCAATTGAATTTGAGCATAAAAATGTTTTTTTGGGTACGTAGTACCGATCTGTTCGTATAGTATCGATATTGTATAAACAATATCGATATTGTATGAACAATACCGATATTGTTCACGTGGTACTGATACCAAATGTGAGAGAAGTATCGATACTCTCAAGGTAGTATCGATACTACCATGTGTTTTCCAAATTGCTCAAATTCCAG